TAATTTAGTTTCTAACAGTAAAAAAAATATGTGAAATTACGGATATTAACAGAAAAAGATGGTTCATTGTTCACAATAGTTTTTAAAAGAGTGATGCATCAGTATCTTCTGCCAAGGAAATAACTACTACATATTATTAATGTCTTATGAATATTTATACATAACATAATATACGAATCAACGTGTTTGCAATTGATTGATTAAGACTATTATTCATTTTGATTAAGTAGAATTGATTGTTTTCTATAAAATTGGTGATTTCACTACCAGCATAAATATGAGTCGGCGCTTTCATATATATATATATATATATATATATATATATATATATATATATATATATATTAGACTAGTTTACACTCAATGTTTCTATTTATAACTAATTAACACAAATCTGGTCAGATCCATGTAGATCTTTTGTTTCTGCTTTAGCTCACTTTATCAGATACGTAGTAAGTCTACAGATTTACTTTTATATTAACTGAATTGAATGTTACATGTTAAACTTGGATAATGATTATACAGGTCGTTGAAAGAGTTCTACATAAAGCAGTATACATTTTATATTCTTAAATTCATTTGTAAACAAACTGAACAACAAATTTGGTGACAAGTTAGTTTTGTCCGCTAGGATTGTCAAACACCTTGATAACACATAATAGATGAAGATCCAAAATGTCTGTAAACTAACCAAATTCACTAAAAGAATTTTTCGCTACATATTTTTGATCAATTGAATATATCATTTCAATACAACTGCGATTAATCAACCAGACTAAACCATATCCGAGATATAATTTTACCGACCTTAAGGTCTATTGTATTCTTGTTCCTTGGTCTATTTCATAGTTTTTAATCATACTCTGATCAGGTTAACGTGTTTTATGGATAAAAGCAAAGTTCTAAGTGCTCATAGAGCCTCAAAAATATTGCACTGTTTACCAAATTGGTTGTATGGAGATGTCGCCATTAACTGTGTTTACCGTTTTACATATGTTTCAATGTAAATACAATGAAAGAACAAAAACGAGGGTTAGTGTCTGCATCTCTGAGCATATTCAACAGAAGACCAGAATAAGAGGCAACAAGTTTGCAGGAGTAAGATTGCAAGCTATCAGCTTGTAACTGGACATGATGTTGATGTTTTAAAGTTCTTTAAGATAATTAACGATTCAGTCATCAAATTTGCTTTGTCGTGGTGACCTCATTCATAAATATTTATTACTTAATTCTTCTCATAACCCTAATTATTAATCCTGACTTTTTATCTGATATGTACTCATTTATTTAGTTTTGTTCTACAGGTTAAATGACTACCACAGTAATATCTCACTTCTAAATAATCTAGTTTCGATGCTTTTAGTTTTTATTTTAGAATATTCTGATATTCAACCTATGTATTCTCACATTATTTGGCATATAAATATCTATTTTAGTTCTTCACTACTTATCGTTATTTTCATTAATCTTCATTGGTTAGGACTTCCGATGTTATGATATAAAGTGTGTAATCTGGTTTCTAATGATTCATGCTATTATGCTTATGTTGCAAGTGGCTGAAGAGAAACAGCGAAGTATGTTAAATCCATGTTATTCTGCTACATCAATTGTTCCTGCTTAAGTAAAATTTATCAATGGGAAAACTGTATATAACATGGAACTTTTTATAGACGTAAATTTTATAATTACATGGTGATATTGTCTGGCGTACTGGTAGAAACCTTTTTTCATCGAAATGGTTCATAAAATTCAGAGTGTATTACTTTCGATTAAAATTCATTCATATATATGCTATAACCGAACGAAGAATGAATGACAAGTTCATAGAAGTCGATATTGAGATTGGTGATTTTGTCACATGATATTTGACGGTCATCAGCATAAATAAAGTAAATTATCACCACTGAAAAACATACTTCCGATCAAAATGTTCCTGAATATCGAAACGTAATGCCATTCACTTTAAACTAATAAGTCAAGTTCGTTGTATTCTTCTGTAAGATTAATTGTTTTCTTTTGATAACAGTTTAAGTTAATAAATAAATACTACGTCGGACGATTTACTGTAATTCAGAATTATAAACCATGGTATGTCGAATAATAATCAAATTATCTTTTATAGAGTACAATGTAGAAAATAAACACGTCAGTAGTAGAAGAACCAAACTTTATAAATGAAACTGATAAAGTTCAAATATTTCCTACATCAATTAAAACGACCTTCTGATTGAAGGATTACCATCATTCGATAATTCTCATTCAAAATGTTTGTTTGAATTCAGAAGCTACTATAAACCATCAAACCCTAATTTACGCTTACAGACTACAATTGACTGTTTATTAATTATATTTTAGCAAAATATTCAACACGTGTGATTGTTTATATGAATAAATGAGTGTTTATTTTATACAATGTTATATTTCAGACTAATAAGATTAATTTACATTTTATGGAAATAAATATATGTGCTTGCTCTTGTATGTACTATTGCGTCAGTAAGTAGTAAAAATCCATTCTAGATAAATACTAATCTACTTGCCTAAGTTCAGTGTATTTAAAAGGTTGTCAGCTTCATTTGTTCATAAATACTTGCATATTTGTTCATCATACAGTTGACTTTTATATCTCTGTAGAACGTTTCTATATCAAAAAATAAAAAAACCCGAGGACAATTCGATTATTAGACTTTTGATCGAGATCATGAACCGATTGATGTTAGACCACCATTGGAAACCTGGAAGCACTGGACGGCCGTTTCGTCCTATTTTGGGACTCCTCAGCGGTGTGCATCCACGATCGCGCTCGCGGGATTCGAATCCAGGGCCTTCAGTCTCGCGCGTGAACGCCTAACCTACTGGACCGCTGAGCCAGCATCCGATTATGTTAATGTCTAACCTCAACCAATCCACGAAATTGCGCGACTATCTTCCATTGTAATGAGTGTTTATCCATTAGAATATAAATAAATATCATTAGATTGAGTCAAATAAAATAGGGCGTTTTTCACACTTTTTGTACAGATTTTGATGTAGTTATACAATGAATCTCGAATTAAACAGTCATTATGACGTTTATCTCAATTAGAAATTAATATAAACACATATCATAGAAAATGTATTGATGAAAAACTTTGTTGGACAGATTTATCTTATCTAGACATTCACCTTGATGTATGTATTAAGTGAATTTTGTCACTCATAGTTTAAAAGTGTCATAAACATTACTAAAGTTCCTTTGTGAATCTTTTCTTATCACTTAAAAAGATATGAAGGATAGTGTTTTCTATGACTTAACAGTTACGTAAATATAAAAGAAAAGATGTTTATGTTAATGAACTATGAAGGATAATGTAGGTAGGTAAGTAAGTGAGGTGAGTAGTTATAATAGTATTCTATTCACCAATGGAAATAATATAAACTAGTTTATCGACTTTATGTCAGGACAATCAAGCCTTAGACACATTTAAAATTGGTTTCAATTTTGTTTGAGATAATTGATTCTACAACCTAAGAAGAGGGATAATTGGACAGTAGATGCGATAAACATTGAACAATCGTTTTTTACTCCTACGATAACTGTGCACACTAGTGATTAGCTTCAAGATTTAACTCCTGGAGTTCTGATGCGAAGCTGTGATCAGTGAAGTCCAGTCCGTGTCAAGTATGTGACATTTATCCACCTCAGGCAATGAATCAAGGGTTGTTCAATATCGTGGGCTGATTAAAGTTAGACAGCAACACCTCTGGATGTCGGCTCAGTGGTCTAGAGGTAAAGCGTCCACATGCGAAAGAGAAAGACCTGGGTTCAAATCCTGCGTGCGAGATCGTGGGTGCGCATTTCTGAGGAATCCTACGATAGGACGAAACGGTTATCCCGTGCTTCCAGCTTTACAATTGAGGTCTAGCTTAGGTTGACTAGTGATTTCAACTGTGAAAACCATGAATAATGGCGATAAGTTTTAAGTGAGTTCCATATTCCAGTTACTCAAACTTAGTCATATTGCTAGCCTGAAGACTATCGGTTGCCACAGCTATCACAATTGTGAATTTGTTTCCAGACTGGATAGAGCAAAAATGACAGGGGGTAAAATCAAATTTCTACGTTTCTGTCAACTCATAAATGGCTACGTGAAAAATGCCATTGCACAATTAGATGAAATTTGTCCGAGTTTTGAGTTAAATTTAATGATAATAATGACAACATTTAATCTGACCATTTTGTGGATATTTTTTGTACAATATGAATGTAGGTTTCATTACGAACTGACATTCGCTTAATAAAGACAGAATACAAAATGAAACTCATCAACCTATAAGTTAACTGGCAGAATAAATTGATGTTTTTCTAAAAAAGAAATCTGAAAGATAAAATTGATCAACATGCATCAATTTTAGGAATGCATCATTTTTAAGCTATTCTTTGTTCCAAATTGTTTGTTTAAATCACAATATTCAATTGAATGGAACTGAACTGGATAAACAATCATAATTAGTATATACGTTTTCCTGATTAATGGCTTGTTATAATCGATAACTTTTGTTATGGTCTGATATGAACTGTAGAACAGTCAAAAGCCATGTAGTATTGGATCGCTTTTTCGTTATGGTTTGAGGTTCTACAATATAAGACATTTACAAATTTCACTGAAGATCGGATTCTTTAAATGAATGTGGTGATTATAATTTAAACTGTGACGGTTTTTATTTAGTCACAAATGGATTTATTCGTCAATCAATATTAAAACATAAAAACTAACGACTACTACGATTGTTATAGGTGTGACTAAATGAAGCGTTTACATGATTTTCTTCGATCTTATCATCAGCAAAGTACAAAATAGTGGTTTTTTAGTAGTCAGTATTGTTACACGCCTACGTGATTCATTATAATCTTTGATCAGATGAATGGTTCAAGCCTTTCCATTTATTCCACCACATATAAATTTGTCCTTGTCATTCAAATATAACCTTGAACATGTTCTATACATGTATGTTTGATAGTACATGTGTCGACCCACTTTCTGTATTTCTTAAATGATTTGTAAAAACAATCAATTTGTTATTATTAGCTGGTCCATTACTAAACTGCAATGCTTTATACAATCACTGCATCTTTTATTTGTCTGCCGTTCAAAATTAACATGTCTTAAATGTAAGTATTTTAAATACAATTCGTATATGAGCTTTATTATCTATGTTGCGTCAACGTGGTGTTTTAACAAAACATATATGAAGTGACCATGGTTTACACTTCAATAACAGCTGTATCATTAAAATCGACCACATTGAAATCAGAAAACAGGTGCCGAAGTTTTTAATTGTTTCAATACTACATCAATTCTTCATAAACATATCCAGTTTTAACTCAAGTTAGTAACTGTTTATTAATGTTAATCAATTAGAACAGTTCATAATTCCTGTGCACATAGCATTAGCTTTAGTCATCATCTTTTTTCAACGTACCAATCAGATATAACTTAATGTGACGCATTATAACCGAAGAAAAACTATGAGCCACTTGAATGGCAATTCGTCAAATGGAGACAATTCAATTTAAGTTTAATACATGTCTTATTGGTTCATATTTTTAGCAGGGTTCTTTTCCACTATTTTAACATACATTACTCCTTCCATCACAAATGATTACACTTAATTGGTCATTTATAGTCGATATCTCATACTACTTGTCAGTTTTTCGGCATTTCTTCTTTTTCCAGAATTACCACAATGAAAAATATTACATACATCTATGGGGCACCTGTCCCCATCTTGAACCACCAAGCGACTTATGCGAATCTTCTGATATAAGTTCTTACTACGAAAGCCAGGCATAACAGATACCTGGAGATTACCGATGAGAACATTTATAGAACAAGACAACGAGTAGAAGAATTATTTATTAAGAGAAATTACAAAGGGTTTATATCATACGTATACACAGCCTTCGATCATTCATTTGCACCTTGCAGTGTATTCTAAAGTACGAAATGTATTTTCTTTTGGTCTTCTACTGTTCTGTCTACGCTGTGCTTTCAACATATTGAAACTCTTCCGTCGGTCCTACGACGCCACTTTGCGCTATATACTACTTGCAAACAATATTGTGAGTAGCGTCCCCCACACTACCAGGTGTTACATATTTGTGACAACTGGGGTTCCTATCTAAAAGGAGATGGCGGATTAATTCTTAGTATTTTGCACCGGCAAAATCTGTATTTCTTGCTTGTATCATTTCTAAATCAACACAGATTATCATATAGCAACGGCCAGGAAGTGTTCTATTTTCTGCATTTTCAACTGCACAATCAGTTACCGAATTGTGTTAGATGTATTATTAATGATCCTCTGATTTTGATTCTCACCTAAGCTTGTGCACTAACACTTTTTTCCTGGTTTTACCAGGAATATATGTATTTTATAACGTATCAAATGGACTGAATATTCTACACAGTAACCTTTATAAAGTTACGTGTTACAGTTTAATCTTATTTGTAAATCGGCACACCTCATGTAATTTATTTCAGAATAAATTATTATTGTTGGATAAATATGAGGAAAAATTTGTAAACATTTAGGTTCAGTATAGAAGTTGTGATAAATCTGCTATTAAAATCATTAGTACTGTCTTTCTGATCACTTTTATAACCTCCCGACTACTTTTGCACATCAGCTGAGACGAGAGAGATAAGGTACGAAATGTGAGTAAAAGCTTTACTTCAAGATGATTTTTTTTGGGACAGTATTGTACAGATTTACATATGACTTTCGACCCTCAGAACCTCCTGGAAACATGCTAACTATAATAGTGGCACAGGTAATTATCCACTGAAAGATGTGACACTTGATCCCTTACATTCTAGATACTTTTGGGAAGCTTCTGTTCAGCGCTGGTTAGTTGAAACATTTCCTAGCGTTTTCTGAGCTTTTAGAGACTTAAATGAAGGATATTTTTGGACTTTTCAGCAGTTCTGTGATAATTTTCATATATTTCAAATCACAAACTGATCCGAATCAGACAGTCATCAAAGACCTGGAAGCACCGGGCTATCGTTTGGCACTAGTACAAAGCTCCTCGTCAGTTCGTGTTCACAACCTCGAACCCAGGATAATTGGTGTCACGTGGAAACGCTTAGCCAGCATCCAACGGTGTGGCTGTCTAACTTTAATCGGTTCACGATATTGCACAACCGTCATCAATAGACTGTGGTTGACAACTGTCTCACATTCGACATGGTTGAATTCCACTGGTCACGGGACACTTTCATTTTCCATTTATAGACTCGAATAAACATGTACTTTTGGAAAGTAAATCACTAGTACAATTAATTGCAGATTTCTTGCATTAATTAGAGTACTAGCACAAAAGCTTAATTTCTAAGGTTTAAGATTCAAGGGAGTTTCTTGAATCAACCTGTAACGGACATCTGGTATACCTCAAATCTAACACCAGTTTTTGATAAGTTTCTTTTCCAGAACGATGGGACAAGAAACAAATGGAATAACGTATATATCATTTATCATCAATAAGCTGTGAACATAAAATCTAAATGTAACAACCAGGCAGCTACAACAAAGTATTCGAGATAACTTGAAATAAACTCATAATAATAAACTAATATTTGAACATAATAAGAGACTAGTTTCTCAGTGAGTACAATCATTTACTACTCATGATATTAACAGTTTACAAAAACGATAAATTAATGCGATTACCTTAGAAATGGCAACATCATTATTCATTCTGAATCATATTTATGTGCTTATTTGAGGCAAATATGTGATACCAACGGATAATCTTCCAATTTTTTTCCGTTCATATGTCAGTTTACAGTTTGAGGATTTTGTTTAGAGATATTTGATATGGACATGTTTACAAAAAAACGTTACAGATAATGATTTTCATGGATTTATTTAGAAATGTAAGAAGTTTCAATTAACTAATATACCAATCCACTGGATAAGTAGACTAATTTTACTGTATTTATTCATAATTCAAAAAAGACTGTTACTTACTTTGTATCAACAGTAAAAAGGTAGTAAAAGGAAGCAAATGTATCGTATAAGTACAACAATTTCACTGACTATTGAAAATAACGAGGTCAAAATAACTTTTATTTACTTCTTAGCATAAAGAATCGATTGATATGAAGCATAAAATGTCACTCATCCTATTATTGAATATTAAAATGCCGCATTTATAGTCCACTAGAAGTGATGTGTTTGTTTATTCATCTACTCAAATGAACAAATGTTTCTTATATAAAACAAACAATCAGCAGTATAATGTAATACTTAGTTTTTAAAAATTTATCAGTTGTTCTCTCTGTTATATCCAAACGAAGAATAAATGAATGGTAACTTCTAGGAATTATTTATGAACCATTATTACGTATATTCTTTTTGGATAATCATTAAGTAACTAGATTATATACATTTATATTCCCTTTATCATGAGCCTGCATTCGACATATTAGCTGCTGTTATACCATTTACCATTCTCGATTTATTCCTAATTATTTAGTTAAAGTCTCCTATACTCACATCCACTTCTGTTTTGATCCTGTATAATTATCATTTTTCATTTCATTGTGTGATGAGGTCTGGTCTACTAGTAAATAAATCAAGTATGTGTGAAATATGCGATTCATATAGTGGAGACTGATATTTGTGTTTTGAACTGAACAGATTGAGTTAGGTGAGGAGCTACTACATTGGGGTCCAATAAAGATCGGGAGTTGATTGAAGGCTGCTAGTACTGTTTTGACTTATCTTTGGCTTAGCACAGGAATATAACACTCTCAATACACAAAACCGTCACGAAATTTGGAAAACGTGTATGGTTAACTTTAAATAAAATCAGGCCGAACTTCAAGAACACAATTTCCACGTCATAAATGATAATCAGAGAAACATACTTCAAGTTATGATCTTGTCAGAAATCATAGTTCCAAGAAGAGTAATAAAGTAAACTAATTTAATATCGAGGGAATTTCATTTTAATAACTTTAACAATACAAATGGATTACTCATCGATGTCTCGCACAAAAACTAACCTGCTCATTAGGACCACCTCAGTATGTAGTTGTAAAGAAACACTATTGCCTTTTAAAAAATACGTGTTCAAAACTTCATACATTCTACATATTATATGTTTGATATTAAGTAGTTTTATTTTACAGTTGAACACATGACCAAGATCAAATATAAAACACATTGCTATTATATATCACAGTTATAAGTGTTCTTATTTATTCCATTTCATCAAGTTGCATAAGCATGCATGACTGACAATTAAATTCTATAAAATGATAGATTTGAGAATTACTAACATAATGATTTACTTTACCTGAGTGCTGAACACGAAATGTATAAGACAGGTTTCATTGATCCGGTTGTTTCAAGAATATTTGCTCAAACTATAAGAGTATTTTTTTGGATAGGTCGTTGTATCTGTTAAATCACCATAAATAAGAATGCAAAACTACAATTAGTGATATCACTGAAAAAAACTATCTTTGCTAAAAAAATCTTAGTTCCTTTTCAATAAAACAGTGGGTTTTGCATCACTGCTATCATATTACCTTGGTTTCAACATGTCCTCACACTCAATGGATGCTTAACAAAAAAGGAGTTACTTACAAAAATTAAAAGATTAAAGAAAATTAAAATTATCTTCAAAACCTCATGTGTAAGTTATTAAAATAAGCGATTTTAGAACATTTCCATTTAGGAGTTTATTCAGAGCTCCATATAAGGTTAAGATCGACCTGAAATTTATTTATAGTTTCTTGTTGTAAGCTTAGTTAGTTTGGTTTCAAAACAGTTTACTAATCACGTCATGTTATTATTACGATGAGTGTAATTACTAACATGTAGTCCAAGTCAAGATTGACAACGTCGGTGAATTCAACCATCCAAAAAATGTAATCCACTTTAGTTCCATATTCTTTTAATTGTTAGATGAATTACTCTGTTAGATCACGTACCTTTCATGAATAATTTTGACTATGTAGTCTATTTGGGACTGACTAGTCAACAATGGCACAAGTTATTAGTTATTTCAGATATTGTCAAATAGAACTAAACATGTGACTAACTTCTGCAACTGATATGGATGTCTATAAGATATCATTTTATTTCAATAATAATAAAGAAACAATATCTTGTTAAAATTATTCATCTAATGATAATATTCAGAGAAAATATTTTTAAGCAGTTAGACAACTGAAAAGCCACCTACCACCTAAGTGAATTGTAACTGGTTAACTTCAAATGGCACAAAAACTGATTTATGATCTGAAAAGCTATCAGTAAAGAAACACTGATACAATCTATCCCGTTTCAAGCGATTGGTAACAGTGGAAATTTTGTTCATCTACTTACAGCGAAAACCTTATAGTGAATAAAATATTGATGAATCGACCACATTTCTTCCTGTTAATGACTTAATATAAAATATATATGAACATTCTTTATAGAATATCAATGCATTTAAAACAGAATAACAAAAACTGAGTTCAATATTGAGATTCTATCAAACTTTAGTTAAACATTGCAATGTATTTGAAGTGTTACTCACGAAATTTTGAAGATTTCCTTTCAGCTTCATTAAACAAGCTATTGACAGTTGTTAACTTCTTACTAAACATACACCAATTAACAATTGGGCGCTTTCAAATTACTGTTTACAATTTTCCTAAATATCACTAAATAAAATAAAATTTTGGAAATAAAGAAAATCGTATATCAGTGAATACGTGTTTGTGACGATTTTTCAACAATTACAAAACTACCTCATATGTTGCTAGTTATTCAGACTTTTTGATCGATTACATTTCACGAAATCTATGAAGCAATGCTCTCACTTAAATGCGGCTTTTGATTATTTTCCTGGAAACATATATATATGATATTTGCTTCTGACTATATGGACAAAATATTTCTAATCGAAGGACAGAATAACCAATTTTAGTACCATTTGACTCTTTTCAGTAGAACTAGAACTTGTTATTTGGATGTAATTTCTATAGTGAGAAAGAACTTGTTTTACAATGAGTATAATTTAGCTGACAACTTGAAGTATAAAGTTGACACAAGGTGTAACTTTTAGTTACCTTGTATGTCTATGTATATCGATAGTGACAACATCTTTACAAAAATTGTATTGAAGATTCAGATTATTTTCGCTCATTAAAAAAGTTGTAGGTATTCTCAGTATATATAACAAAATAGTCAATGCAAATTTAATTCATTATGTATTTACCAACAAAGGTTCACATTTCGTTCACTAAACTTTCAAATACTATTTTATCATTGAGTTACGTTTATCGATACTTATTTTCTCCTAAAGTCCCTAGAGTTCCATATGTTCTTCAATTGTAGGAATGTTGTCCTTGCTTTATCGATCCTTGTCTTTACGTCTGCATCCGGTCCTCCACGTTCATCGATGATTCCGCTGCCCAAGTACGTAGAACTTTCCACCTGTTCCAGAGCTTCAGTTGGTGTTCTCCATGTTGTAGTTCAAACCTACCACTGCAGAGGCTGCTGATACACTGTCTTCGGCTGCATTTGTTTGTCATATATGGGATGGAAAAGCTAGGTGATCTGTGAAGTTCAAATAGTGTAGTTGCATCCAAACTGTTCATCGTACGCCGTGCTTCCCCTGATATGTGGAAGTTTTCATAGTCCAATTGACCACCTAGAGAAAGAGAAAGGGAGATAATTAGCACCAATGTGTGACACCGTTCGTCGCTTGAAATGAATTTATGAGCTGTCCTCCATGCAGAACTCTGTTGCTCTACTCACGATTGTATCTCATATCACTTAGCAGAGCGCTCATTAGACTTATTATAAGCTTAGTCTACTAAGCTAATAGTCTGTTTTTGTTATCATTCATGGCAATGTTAACCGCGTTATTCGTCTAGTTCGCAGGCGATTATAGCGTGTAGAAGGAAGTGTGCGTATTTTTCGCCGTTACTTCTAACAAAATGGTATGGATTATTAGTTTCATTAGAGAAAATGATGACATGTAGTGAACTTAATTTTCTCATTAGAAATTTACTTTTAGCAAGTCAATTGGTTGAATAATATCAGTGCATGATAAAAAATGAAATAACTACGCGCATCCTAGCTTTCACATAACCTCTTAGCATGAACTGTTGATACGATTAAACTCATCTAGCAGCTTAGGGAACAATCAAGTACTTTAACCAGATATTTTGGCAAAAGTTTTATTAATTTATCCAACTAAATGAAGTGAAGCATTAGAGCATTAGAGTTGGCAAGAAGAAATACGTGGAAGAACTAGCAACGACGGCGGAAAAAGTTGCAAGAGAAGGAAATATGAAACCGCTTTACGATACAACGAAGACACTAGCAGGGAAATATAGTAAACTAGAGAGACCGGTCAAAGACAAAGAAGGCAAGCCAATCACTGAAATTTAGCGACAGCGAAACAGATGGGTAGAATACTTCGAGGAACTCCTGAATAGGCCTGCTCCAATTAATCCACCGGACATCGAAGCAGCACACACAGATCTTCCCATAGACGTCAACCCACCAACGACGGATCAAATCAGAATTGCCATCAGACAAATCAAGAACGGGAAAGCAGCGGGACCCGACAACATACCAGCTGAAGCACTGAAGTCAGACATCGAAGTAACTACAAACATGCTTCACCTTCTATTCAAAAAGATTTGGGAGGGGGAACAATTGCCGATGGACTGGAAAGAAGGACACCTCATCAAGATTCCAAAGAAAGGAGATCTGAGCAAATGTGAAAACTACAGAGGCATTAAACTACTGTCGATACCAGGGAAAGTCTTCAACAGAGTGTTGCTGAACCGGATGAAGGATGAAGTAGACGCCCAACTTCGAGATCAACAAGCTGGATTCCGTAAGGATCGGTCGTGCACAGACCAAATTGCAACACTACGGATCATCGTCGAACAATCAGTTGAGTGGAACTCATCACTATGCATCAACTTCATTGATTATGAAAAGGCATTCGACAGTGTAGATAGGAAGACATTATGGAAACTTCTTCGACACTACGGAGTTCCTGAGAAGATTGTCAATATTATCCGGAACTCATATGACGGACTACAGTGCAAGGTCATGCATGGAGGACAACTGACAGATGCATTCCAAGTAAGGACTGGAGTTAGGAAAGGCTGTTTACTCTCCCCCTTCCTCTTTCTTCTAGTGGTCGACTGGATTATGAAGACCTCGACATTTGAGGGAAAACACGGAATACAATGAACAGCTCAGAATCAATTAGACGATTTGGACTTCTCAGATGACGTAGTCCTCCTATCGCATACACATGAACAAATGCAGATAAAGGCAGCCAGTGTAGCAGCAGTCTCTGCATCAGTAGGCCTCAGCATACACAAAGGGAAAACCAAGGTCCTCAAATTCAAAGCGGAGAACAGCAATCCAATCACTCTTGATGGCGAAACTCTGGAAGATGTAGAATCCTTCACATACCTGAGAAGCATCATCGATGAACAAGGAGGTTCAGATGCAGACGTAAAGGCAAGGATTGGCATAGAAAGGGCCACATTCCTACAACTGAAGAACATATAGAACACAAAACAACTTTCAACCAACATCAAAGTCAGAATCTTCAATACGAACGTCAAGGCAGTTCTACTGTACGGAGCTGAAACTTGGAGAACTACAACAACCATCATCAAGAAGGTGCAAGTACTGATAAATAGCTGTCTACGCAAGATACTCAACATTCATTGGCCGGGTACCATCAGCAACAGCCTTTTGTGGGAGAGAACAAACCAGCTTCCAGGTGAAGAGGAAATTCGGAAAAGACGATGGAAATGGATAGGACATACATTACGCAAATCGTCAAACTGCATCACGAGGCAAGCCCTAACTTGGATTCCTGAAGGGAAGCGAAAAAGAGGAAGGCCAAAGAACACATTGCGTCGGATAATAGAAGCAGGTATGAAAACGATGAATTACAACTGGACGGAGCTAGAAAGGATTGCCCAGGACAGGGTTGGATGGAGAATGCTGGTGAGCAGCCTATGCTCCTTCACGAGGAGTAACAGGCGTAAGTAAGTAAGTAAGTAAGTAACTAAATGATCATTCATAGTGTCACGTACTAGACTTGGAATTTTGGAGCAACTTAGGACGTTGTTCAGATTTTGTATGGAAGATACTTGGGGAAAAATTTTGAAACTGAAATACGCCAATTAAAAAATGAATACCCGAACTATTGACTTACAGCTCTACTGAATGAAATGAACTGAACCAACTTCTGACTACAAATCGATTGTTCTACTAGCTGTGAAGGCTATTTTAGACTACGTTTTACCTTTTCCATTTTTAATTTTTGACTTACTTGAAGTTTGGGATTAAAGTCAGTTTTATATACAATATTCATATAATATTGCAAATTACCTAAAAAATACTCTCGTTCTTATTAG